GCGAGAAATCCCCGTAACCTGATTGTTTTAAGATTGTTTTAAATTGGTGTTCGATCCTTGAAATTCATGCTTTTGCCCCCGCCCCATCCCCACGACTGTCAGCACAAGGTTGTGTCAGGCGCTTGGAGGGGGTGTGTCTGGGGGGGGATGTTAATGATTTTGGGTAAAATCAACAAATTCTGGTGTCTGGGGTAAAAGAAAAGAAAAAAAAAAGAAAGGGGTGTTTCTTTTAATTTTTTTTTCTTTGCTGTTAATATCTGTGATTATTTTATACGGTAACTTTTAAGCTTCCGGTTTTATAATTTAATAAAGGTGATGGTGTTCGGGGGCGAACCCGCCGGGATGCCCTTGGCGGCGCTGAGCAGCGAAACGCGGGCGCGGCGCGGCCCCTACCGGCCACCGTCGGCCTCCTCCTGCGGCGCCAGCCAATGGGAGGGCGGCTTCGGGGCCCACTTCCGGCCGCGGTGGCCGCTGGGAGCGGAAGCGGAAGCCGGCGGGAGGGGTGTTGTGGCGGCGGGAGGAGGGCGATGCCGTTGCACCGGTACCCGCCGCGGCTCTGGGCCTCCATGCGGCTTCGGGAGGGCATTTGTGCGCGGTTACCGCAGCACTACTTGGCCTCCCTGCAAGACGACACGCCGCCCACCCCCGTGCACTGGCGGCCGCTGGGCGTCACCCACCGGCGGAACCCGCGCACCGGGGAGCGGGAGCGCGTACAGGACGTGCCGGTGCCCGTGTACCTGCCGCCCGCCGCCCACGAGGGGCTCTGGGGCGGCGAGGGCTGGATCCGCGGCTTCCGATATGCGCGCAATGACAAGGTGAGCTTTTTCCTTACCCCGGGCTGGCGGTGCCCTGTGTGTGTGGGGGGGGGCCCGGGCGCCGCTTTGGGCGGCTCACCCGGCCCCTGGTGCGTCCTCAGCCCGTTTCGGCGGGCGGCGGCGCCGTCGCCGTCGTCCCCGGGCCCTGAGCACCGCCGGTCTGTGCCCAGCTCTCCACCAGGCTGCCCAAGACGTGGAAGCCGCAGCTGTTCGAGCGGCAGTTCTACAGCGAGATCCTGGACGCCACCCTGACCATCACCGTCACCATGCGGACCCTGGACCTCATCGACGAGGCCTATGGCTTCGACTTCTACATCCTCAAGGTCAGGCCCTCTGCCCGGCTGGGCTCGCCCTGCGACGGGTCTGCACCCGCACTGCCCTGGCTCAGGGGCTGGCGTGTAACATCAGTGCAGCTCTAAAGCTTCCAGCCTTTAGCACCCCATTGATTGGAGCCCTTGTGTTAAATTAGCTCCAGACCCAATCCAAGGGATCTTTTCCCTTTCATAATACGTGTCCTGGGAGCCTCTGCAGCATGTGGATAAACTACCGGTGTTGTTTGGGTGCTGATGGGCTTGGGTGTCTCTAGCAATTCTAGGCTTGTGTGCTCTCTTTTGGTGCAATTTGACATCAGACTTTATTTCTGCAGACTCCCAAAGCCGACATGTGCTCGAAGCTGGGGATGGATTTGAAGCGAACGATGCTGCTGCGACTTGCACGGCGGGACCCGAAGCTGCATCCCGACGATCCGGCCAGGAGAGAGGCCATCTATGATAAGTACAAGGTGGGTGCCTGACCTGCAGTTCCTGCCCTGCTGCCTATAGTGACATTTGCTGGTTGTGCAGGCAGATTGTGCCCTAATCACCCGGTCACAGCACAAGACAGCATTTATGCTTCTGTATTTAGGGTTAAGGATATGGGTGGAGAAGATCTAAAGATTGTCTGTCAGGTTTTCCTTGTCTCTCTATGAACTGCTAATTGATGTACTGATCTTTTAGGGAGACAAAAGCCTGTTTTTTTACTGTGACAGAGGTCAGTGAGGGTCTGCAATAAGCAGTGGTAGGAGCTGGCACTGCCGACAGCAGGAATTGGTTGTGTGCAGCTTTGTTTTGTGTCGCTGGTGATTGCTGTCAGCGTAGAAACACCACCAGCATCCATGGTCTGTGGAGTTGTGCTGAGAAACAGCCCCGGAACTACACAAAGGAGAGGCACAGCAGCAGACACAGGTGACCAGAGAAAGCAGGACCCTCACTAGGGAAAAAAGGGAGAGAAGGGAAGTGAACTTTGGTTGCCAGAAATGAGGGAACAGTGTTTTAAGATTTGTCTGTGGTAATGTTCCTACTGGATTGCATCTTTGTGTGAGTTGGATTTGTATCTTAGTCACCTGGAAAGACGGTACCACCTGCTCCTTCTTTTGTCACAGGAATTTGTGATCCCAGAAGAGGAAGCTGAATGGGTTGGTTTGAGTTTAGAAGAAGCAATAGAAAAACAGAGACTCCTAGAAAAAAAGGTGAGTTCCTGAGGCAAGGCTTAGCACTGAGGTGTCTTCGATGCTTTGGGCTGCACGTCCAGCTGATATGAGCAGCCTGAGCCTTCCTGAGCAATGGAAGTGGTGCTGCAAACCAAATTTGGGTGCCCAGAACCTGGGGCTGGGTTACAGTGTGTCGTAAACTGGATCCTCTGGTTGGGGAAGAGAGATTTAGGGGGATGGCTCGTAACTCGTGCCCTGTTGCCTGACATCTTTGCCCTTGGTTGCCAGCTGTTACGCTTCTTGTGCTTTGGGACACGTGGATACAAGCTGGGGGCTCACTCTGTCTCTGCAGCTGCCTTGTTGGAAGCCATGTGCAGGGGAGAAGCGGGGCAGAAGGGCTTCCTGGAGCGGTGGGGGCTCTTGGTGATGTTTCCCCCAGACCTGTTGGCTCCTGCAGGAGGAATGGAAGGGTGAGGAGCACTGACTGCATGAGGCGGTGGGGCTCCAGCTTCTTCAAGGGGTGTGTTCTCCCCTTGTGCTTCAGTACAGCTCTGACTGAGGGCAGCGTGAGGAGGGGGAGAAGCGTTTTTAGAAGGGATCCCTGGGAGCTACCGATGGTTCTTGTCTGCAGGCAGGACCAGGAAAGCTGATGGATGTTCCTTAAAGGTGCCTGTCATCTCTGAGGCAGGGTTACAGAGCTGCACAGCAGCTGTGTCTGGAGGAATAGTGTAGAAGGTTGCTTTGTTTAACTGCTGAAAAAAACCCAGTCACATTTTCCTCCCTCTGGTTTTAATTGTTAGCGCTCCTGCAGCTCGTCGTTATACTTCACCCCTTGCTGCTGCTGCTCAGGTTCACTCCGTTGAAGTGGTTTATCCTCTGCTTTGTTTCAGGACCCTGTCCCGCTCTTTAAGGTCTATGCTGAAGAGCTCGTCAACCAACTGAAAGAACAGGCTCTGCAGAAGCAGTAGGAGGGGGGAAAAAAAAACCTCTGGAGCAAAACCCCTGCTGCAGATCGAGCTGTGGGGTTCAGTGAGTCTTCTGTCTGAACCACGTTGTGTGGAAGGGGCCACATGAAGAGCCTGCCCAGGAGCACATTGCACTTACCAAAGTCTAACGACAGCCTAAATTCCGTGAGCAACTGTTCCTGTGGGCTGAGGAAAGAATTTCTCTCCTGTGGCCTCTGAGAGTGTTCTTGAAAGACTGGCTTAATGTGGTGGCTCTGCCTGTACAAGTAGTTGGCTGTTGTTGAGAGCTTGATTACGATATAAAATGGAATATGCGTTTTGGGAATATCAGTAAACTTTTCTCTGATACTTACTGCTCGTTAGTGGTGACAGCAGGGACTGTGAGACACAGGGGTGTAACGTGGATCGGTCCCCAGCCTCTGCAGCAGAGAGGGTTGTGCCCCAAAAGCACGACCCCAAACAGGAGTGGCTGAGCTCCCCGGCCCTTCGCACCAACCCCTGGGGTTCCAGCTGTTTCTCTTTGAAGTCGGTGATTTTAAAAATCTTTCTTTTTGTAATAAGACAGTCAAAGTGAGCGTTCAAGCCTTTGTTCCTGACTGGCAACAAGGGACTGAAAAGCACTTACCCAGAGTCATGCTGGTGACGTTTGAAAGCTTCATGGTCCTGCTGTGGGTTTCTGGCTGGAGACAAAGCAGCTTCTCCTCCCTCTCCCTTCTGCTCAGGTGAGGGACAAGCGCAGAGCTTGCAGGATGGACCTCGTGTGAGCCACCTCTCTGGGTTGTCACCCCAGGAAGAGGTTTTGCCTCCCCTTGGGATGAGACATGCTCCCCTCTCTCTAGCACATAAGTGTTTGGTCTCAGTTTCTGAGCTGCAGGACCCATGATAAGAGAGAATCTGGGTGGGTAGAGCAGTGTGTGGCTGGTTCCCTTCACACTGGAATGAAGTAGGACCTCAGGGGAGCAGAAATTCCGGGTGTCTTAAAGATTTGGGAGGGAGGTGCTGCGGAGGTGGTGGCTGGAGTGGCAGGGAGGCTGTGCTGGGTGGCTGGGGATGAGGGAGGTGGTTGAGGGGAACGTGTCCTTCAGGAAGAAGGTGGGGTTTCAGGAAGACCAGACTCCTCCTCTGCTGCTTTTTGGGCCCGGGAATGGGTTGGAGCCCTCTCAGGGGGTGTTTGAGCCCCAGGTGAGTGTGGTGCAGCCCCAGGCTGTTGAGCTGCCAGACTGGGGCTGTGCTGTCCCTGCACAGGGACAGGAGGCTCAGCACTGCAGGGGACAGTGGTGGCAGGGGACTGTGGTGCAGGGGACTGGGTGGCAGAAGCTGGGGTGTCTCCAGCCTGCCTGGATGCAGCTGCAGCCAGTCCAGGTTCTCAAGAGCAAACTGGCACAGAAGGCAGCATTTGCCTAATTAATGATTCTGTAGCTAGGCCAGAACAATGACATTTGGTTATCCGTTCCTCCTTCTGCAACTGAGCCGAGTGGGGAAGCTGCTGCCCGGCTCCTCGGGGACCCTGACACTCTGCCCTCGTTAGAGATAATTAGCTGGGACAAGCTCCTCGTTTGACAGCTCTGCTCATCATTAGGGCTAGCGCAGCTCATGCATTTTAATGCAGCTCTGAGCAAAGCTCCAGACCCTGGCTCTGTCCTGGCCCCCCCTCCATCGCTTCGCTGGAACGTGCCGGCGCGGGTCTGGCCTCTCGCTCTGGTGCGGGTATGGCAGAGCCTGGCTGATGCCTGCCT